ACCCTGCTTTGTATGGGTCATGCTAGAGCTTTTCCCTACCATGCAGGGGATGCTGTGCATCCTTGTTTTGTTCTTCCTCCTTTTTAAAAGCTTTTGTAGCATGTCTTACATAGTGACTCTTATGCATATTGGAGTAAGGCAGGGGCTGAGAATAAGATCTCGGATTGTCATGGCAAGATTCCAGGGATCCTGACGTGCTTGGTATCAAAAAGAATAGGTCAAAAAACCTTTGAAGAACGGGGCTTTCTAAATATTCCAAAAGAATGGGGAAGAGACTTCAGATACATAAAAAGGGGGCATGGATTGTTATGCTGTGCTGCATCTCTTTGACTTTTATTTAAATTGGTACTGACACTGCTACAAACGGCAAATACATCGATCTGTGTCTTGTCACTGTTGTTATAGTGGATTAATATTATTATTCTTTTAATCATTTATGATTACAAACTTCAATTATGCCCAATTTTTGCAAGCTGGGTTTTTTCCAGTATATTACTGCCAAGGTTTGGCAAGATAATTTGAAATTTCTTTTCTTGCTTGAAAGAAATGATATTTCATATAACACAAGGCTAAGAAAAAATACATCACTTCTCACAAGGTTTTAAAGTTGATGCTAACTTGACTTGAAATCAACTAAGTTGATATCGCACTTAACTTCAGAAGAATAGTTTTCATCAAAAACAACCTACTTATATCCATGTTAGAAATCTGGAAAAGCGATAAAGCAGATGAGGGCAGTGTAAAGGAGGTTTTGCAAGCAAACCGTGCTTGTTTTCTGCCAAGCTTTTCACTAAAGATCTACAAGTATGGCCAAAATCACTTCAGCAAGTGGATATTTAAGTGTGCTTGTACAGCCCTTTAAGTTATTTCAGCCAGGAGGATCCCAAGCGCTTGGTACAGCAAGAATTTCACCCACAACTGTGAGAACATGGCAGTGTGCCATTTGGCAGAAAATTACGGCTGAAATGAGAGATACCATGCTCGCATGAAGATACTTGGAATTAATGTAACAGACAGAAATAGTTGGACATTTGTTTAGAACACCAGCATTAACTCATCTTTTTGAGTAAAATACTCTTGATCTTTTATGTGCTGAATCAGAATGATGAGTGGTTAGGAAGGGTTTTGCCTTGTCCAGAAGTTACTTGGTTTTAGCTTTCTGTAACTCATTGGAGGAGGAGTGCGTGCTCTGAAGAGTCTAAGTGTAATTCCTGTGCTCTATTGGTTCACCCGACACTGTTTTTCTTTGAAGTCACTGTATGCATCATGAAATGTCTTTCATTAATACATCACTTGAAGGTATAGCATTCATCCTCTCAAGCAGCTGAAAGAAGGATTTACCACATTTAGCTGCTATTGTATTCTAAGTTTTTAACTGTCATTAATTTTTTTGTCCCCAAAATGGTAAATGGTTGGAGGTACTGGGATTTCAACAACTCTTTTAAGACTAAAACCTTCAAGTTTTCTGTCCTTAACATGCAGAAATGAGGGCAGTGCCAATCCAGGCAAGTAGAGCTCTTTCTGAAACTGAGTTTTCAGCCTCTGGTCACCATCCCTGTGTCATACAGGCTGCAGAAAAGTAGTATTTTGCTGACTGAGTAATACTCATTGTACAACTGAGATATGGTGCAGTGAAAGGAAGGTTGCTTTTTTTAATTGAGATAAATTCCAGAATGAAGCATCTTCTTGAAACGGGAAATTGAAATAGCTGTTTGAGAATATCAATGTTGTATAGGTTTTTTGGATGAAATTATAGAGATTTTGATACACCTCTTTATTTGTCTCTTTGGAAAACATTTTTCCAAAGGTTTCTGTAAAACTGTTTTTACTGCAATTCCAATAAAACTGTATTTTGCACGTTCTAAGTAGGTGCAATGTTGCGCCTTGGTTTGTATCAATAGACAGGTAGCAAGTGCAGTAAGGGCCGAGGGAGGAACAGTGGATATGGACAGATAAATAAAGTCAGGAAAAAGCGTCATGATAGTTGTCTGGTAAATGTTATCTCAAGGAAGATGTCTCTGAAGTGTAAGAGCATGCCAGGATGCGATCTATATGCGATCTAAGCCTGCAGTTGCCAAAGGCACAGCTCACTCCATGGGGAGGAAAAAAAGTGAAACTGATTCCAATCTGTTTCTTTCTTCCTACTCCAGGCTACAAATTCCCACACTAATGAGGTGGTGGCAGTCAAGAAGATGTCCTATAGTGGAAAGCAAACGAATGAGGTAAGATGAATAAAGCCAATTCTGCATGCAGAAGCTGTTGCAACCGTAATGTAAATCTGAGCAGTGAAATTAGCTGCGTATTTCATTTGACACTAGCAGACCAGCTTTTTAATGCTGTAGTTGTTGCTCACTTCCACAGGAAGCATGGAGGTTTGTGGAGGGAAAATGAGTTTATGCAAATTTTGACAAATAATTCAGTTTAAGGAAGTGAATGGGAATTCAGAATGCTTGTAGGGTGGTTATTTCAGTAATAAGTGCATTAAGACCACGCTGGCTACTGGAGCCATAACCACAACTCTTTGAGGTGTCAACTGAAATGTATAGCTGACTTGAAACACTTTTCAGGATCTATAATCTAAAATTACATAGACCTTCTATTCAGAATATCAGTCCCACTTTAGCTGTTGCTTGGTAGTTGCTCCTCTTATTTCTTTGTGTTGCGATGCTTTTGTACTTGGTTCATGTGGGTTGATAGGCAGTAAAGAATGTGTGTGTTAGGAGCAAACAGGGATGTTTTAAACTCATTTTTCCTTGCTTACCTGTTGGTCTCCCACATGTGCTGAGGTCTTCCAAATATCAGTTGCCTTGTGCTGCGTTACAGAAGGAAGCAAACAGCTAATTGCTATGATCTGTAGCACATACTGTAGGTGGTGGTGTCTGTTTTGGGGCAGGTGGGTTTGTTACTAAGTTTGAGACCACTGGATAGTTCAATAAGCAAAACAGTAGCAATGCTTTAAGTAAATATATTGCAGGTAAAATGGGGGGGGGGGGGAATGCAATCCTCAAGCTATTTAAATATGCCTTGGGGGGTCTTAATGCAATAGAGATCCAGACAACTCCACTTGTGTACAGTTGTGCTTTTGCAACTATGACTCTTATCATCTTCACATTGTAAAATAGTTTTATGGTTGCTTTTCAGGCTGTACTACAGTGTGTGTGGTGTATGAGAGTATGTAGGGGATCAAGCAGAGAAATTTATTTATACCTTTTTGCTTTTTTTTTTTAATTAGAAATGGCAGGATATCATCAAAGAAGTCAAGTTTCTACAACAGCTGAAGCACCCCAACACCATAGAGTATAAGGGCTGTTACCTGAAAGAGCATACGGCATGGGTGAGTGAATGATGTGGCATTTAGAGGTCTTCATGAGTAGAAAATGTACGGTACAGCAATCAAATATTCAGTACACGCAGAGTCTTTACCTGCAGCAGTATTCGTCCCATGCTGCCTGTAGTCCCTTTCATCTGAAGAAGCTTCCAGGTAATTTAAAGGGAATAGATATTTAGGACATTGGAACAAATCCCTGCTTCTCTGAGGCAGTCCTCTGTGTTCATGCAGATTAAACAATTGTTATGGAACATCCTCTACAATATCTTCCCACAAACTTCTCAGTGCCTAAACCTTCTTTACAACAATGAAAGATGTCTTGACATTGCTGGAATGTTAGAAGCATTTCATTTTGTTCATCGCTTATTGCATTGCTTGCAACTTAAGGCTTTATTAGCCATTCAAGTAGTAACTGTTTGTGGGGGAGTGTCTACCCTATTATTAAAAAGCATGCTTTTTTCTTGCAGTTGGTTATGGAGTACTGTTTAGGATCAGCTTCTGATTTGCTAGAGGGTAAGTTTTATATAGTCTTTGATTTTCTTTTGCTAGTGCCCCTTCTGAGTATAGTGGGAGGCTGTTTTCTCACAGACTGGTATTTTGCAGATGGTAGAGGCGGGCTGTCTATACTACTCCATTTTGTAGGTAGAATGCCTGTATTTGTGATACCAAGGGTAAGCTGATACTTTCCCAGGAGGCCAGTGCGATGTATAGTTGGCATGCACGTTTATATGTTGTAAAATGAAGGTGTAAATGTATATAGCTATGTTCCTGTAATTTGTGCCTTCTTGATGACTGAAGCAGACTGCCTGTTTTCTGAATATCCATAACAAAAACCTACAGAGATCACCTTTGTCCTTGCCTTGCAGTTTGTAGGGGTAATTACAGATGATTTTATAGAACAAGATACTGATATGACCTCAAAACTAGAACAGCAGCACCCGCAGAGGAGTAGGGAATCTAAGCCGAAGTTCGCAAAAACTAGTATTCTTTGTGGGCTGTATCTTTTGTATCTAAGATACGGTCAGCCAAAGGCACATGCTAGTCACATTTAGGGATATATGGAAGGTGCTTTGGGTCATCTCTTTGTAGCTGGTATTCCTCATTTTCCTGTTTTTTGACTCTTGGGGGGAAAAAAGTGGCAAGTTTTCCTTGCTAAGGACCAAATGAGTATTTCAAATACATTTGGCAAGCTGCACTCAAACATATCTCCTGGTGTTAACAGTAACTGTTGGCCCTAGCGGGAATGTGAAGAAAAATGTGGTTTCCTATGATGTGAAATACATGCACAGGCTGTGTATAGACTCAGAGCTGCTAATGGCCATCAGACCATAGGAAACTAGTATTCACCTTACAGCTGGCAAAATTGGTGGGGTTCCTTCTCTTTAAAAACACTTTCTCAGGAAAAGATTACACTTACCTTCTTATGGTTTTTCTTGATTCCCCCCCCCCCCTCCGTTCACAC